AGAGAGAGAGAGAGAGAGAGAGAGAGAGAGAGAGAGAGGGAGGGAGGGAGTCTGTATGTATCTTTTATGTATTCTCGATTCTTCTTATATCGTATAAAAAAATCTTGAGAACTTTTTTTTTTTTTTTTTTTTTTTTTTTGTAAATGTGATTTTTATCTCACCAAAAATACTTTTTTTTTGCATTTCCCCCTCTTCCCCCCCCCATTCGTATATTTAATATTAATTAAAAAAAAAAAAAAATTCTAATGGTGACGTTTCATTTTCCTAAACCCTTCTCATCGCGTTTCAACATTCATAATTTTTTTTTTTTTTTAAAAAAGTAAACCGAAAATTCGAACGCCATTAATAATATGTCGTAGGGGAGAAGGGAGGAGAGGGAGAAAGATCCCGATTCAAATCACCCGAAAATCTAATATTGGCAGTTTTTCATTCATTTCAAATCATTTTACGTATTAAATTAAACGTTATGAATGGATCAAAATGTGCGGGAGTGCGTGTTGCGAGTTTTCCCTTAACAAATAATAATAATAATACTAAACGATTTCATATGGGTTAATGGAATCGAAAGTTTGCAGAGTTTAACTGGCATTAACACCTTTAAGGATCGTGACTCGTTCGAGTAGTTTTTCATAAAAAAATCACTCGTACTTTCTCTCAAAGGTTCCGACTGACGGTTAAATACAACAACCTTACTCGATACTAACCCAAACAAACAAACAAACAAACAATCTTACATACAACAAAATAATCTACCAAACGCAAATCGTAATCAATAACAAAAAAATAATCGATAATTAAATACATCTCAATTAAAAAAAAAAAAAAAGAAAAATCATTTTTCGTTTCCTTTCAACAACAACAACAACAACCACCAATTTTTTTTTTTTTTTTCCCATCGACAAGATGTAGTAGCTACTACTGAAATTTATCAAGTATGTGATATACTTATTAAAACATGAGTTTCGAGTATATATATATATATATATATATATATATATATATATATATATATATATATATACGCCCGTAAAAAGAATACGATCGTACCGGATTCGTACTTATACGTGCGTCGTATGTATATCTATGTATGTATATACCTATCCTTCTCCCACTCGCAAATCTCTTAAATACTCCCTCTTTTTTTATATTGCTGGGGGCGGGACTAGTTTAATGTTCTTTCCCTCTGGCGTCGTTATAATTCAGTCTTGATTCGACTTCAAAACTTGCGAGTTTCGTTCGAGATATATACATACATACATATATATTTATTTATTGATAATAATAATATTTATTAATAAAAAAAAATTTTTTAACGGTTTTTTTTTTTTGTTTAAACTCGAACAACGAACAACAATATTAATAATAATATTTATTTATTACGCGAAATGAAAAGGTGAACGGTTGAACGAACGAAAAAATATATCGTCGGTTATCAAATCGCGTCAAAATTTTATTATTATTATTATTATTATCATTAAATAAAAATTTAAAAAAATTAAAAACTGACGTGCGTTTGTGCGCGTGTGTGTGTTCATACGTGCGTGTGTCGATAAGTAGAAAATTTTTTCCTTTTTTGTTTTTTTTGTGCGCGAATTTTCCGTGTATTTACTAATAATAATATTTCGGCTCGGATCAATTAATTAGTAATAATAATAATAATAATTATGTGCATAAGTTAAATAAGTAAATAAATAAAAAAAAACATTTCGAATTTTTTTGTTTTCGATTGATTGATTGATTGATTGATCGATTAAGTTATATTTAAGCAAAAATGATAATCCGATTTCTCTCTCTGACTACGTCACAATTAACAACGTAGTTAAAAAATATATATCGTGTACATTATCATTATTATTATTTAAATAATGTTACAAATAATCATTCATCCCGAAAGTTTTTCACACTAATTTACGACGTTATAAGTGAGTGAGTGTGCGTGCGCGGCCGTTTATTCGGTGGCGAGATATGAGGATTTATAGGAAAATTTGGAAAATTCGAGAATTCGACCTCCTAAAAAAGTGCGATAAATAAATAAATTAATAAATAAAAATTTTTTCGCCATTTTTCGAAAATATAAATAAATAAAAAAGTGTGTGTGTGTGTGCGTGTGTGCGTTTTCGTT